TCGACTTCAACTCACGTAACCGTCGTAAAAGCTTCTTCAAATCTATTTACGGAGGAACTGAAACGACTGGAGAGAAGATTGACAGATCTTGAAGAAGAATCCGAAATGTTTAAGGAAGCTCTCTCGGAGAGTGTGGAGGAAAGATCTAAGCTAATGAGTGAGATATACGAGTATTTCAACTCTACACAAAAGCGTGACGTAAAGGTATGTATGTGCCATAGCAGTTTATGCATCTTTTTTTTTTTTTTCTTCTTCTTTTTGGCTGAAGTGTTTTTTGATTAATGTTATGCAGAAGAGAAGAGCTGGTTTATTGCAGGTTCTATTTCAGGATACAAATCCATCCATTGTTAGTAGTAAGGGTTTAAGAACTAAAGCAGTAGTACTATGATAAGACGTGCTTATGGCTTTTGCGTGAGAAATATTAATGGGCGGAACCACCATCTCCAGCTTGGGCGGAGCCACCACCTCCGCCTGGAATTCGATAAATCGTGGTGGTTCGTTAGGGGGCAGTAAAACCATCTTCACCACCACCAACGAAATTACAACTGCAATTTCCACAAGACAGCCGGAGTAACGTCATCAACAGTAATTTTGCCACGGTCGGAAAGCTATTAAAAGACTTTTGCTTATTTATACGCAATGAAATATGAGGTTTTTTCGTTTTCATGCTTTGTGAATGACATAACCCATGATTCTTGCCTGTGTATTTTTTTTTTTTTTAAGTTTTTCCATTGTGAGGTGAAAAAGAAAAAGTCATAAGGGTTCGTCAACAGTCAACACCCAAAGATTGGGAAAATTACTATTTTCATCCCTCAATTTTGCACAAATTTCATATTTGGCCCCCTGTTCACGAGAAAACACATCTCATGTTTCAATAATTTAACATTTTTGATCTTTTCCGTCAATTTACTGTTAGTCCGTCAGTTAAGATAAAAAGCACATGATTAATTGCGTTAGTACTAATAAAAAATTGACGAAAAAGACTACATATGTTAAATTTTTTAAACATAAGGAACCAAATGTGAAATCAGTGTGAACTTAATAGATGAAAACTGTATTCCCCCGAGATCTATGCCCACCTAAAATAAAAAATAGATCTTAGAAGCTTCTAGAAACAAGTACAAACATGGAAGGATCCATGCATGCAATAATCTCAAATTAATCTCTATAACATACCTCTTAACAGTATTAAGCAAAAACAACTTCATGTACAAAACCAAACACACTATAGAGAATAAAGAACAAGAAACTTTTTTATTTTTATTTTATTCATACTAATTAAAATCTATATTAGTTTGCTGACATACCTCCAACATTATTTATCGATTACAAAATAGTTTACGGGCACAGATAATTTAATGTTTGACCAAAATCAAGGTTTAAGAATGTTTTACTAACAATTATTTTCTCAATGAGGGAGGGAGAGGGGGCATCGCCCCCCTCGATATTGAATTATTGTATGAAAAATTGTGAGAAACTATAACAAACATGCCTTAAAGCCCTTCTCTATTTCATCTCGGTCGAGGTTCTTTCCGATGAATACAATCTTGTTTACTCTCGGTTCTTCTGGGCCCCACAACCTATCCGGTGAACCTTGAAATATATCGTGCACTCCCTGTAAAGTGTGAAAATGAATTGGATATTATAGCTCAAAAAATAATTTCAAGAACCATATTTTAATTTGGTGGAAACATTTCTAGGTCTATAATACATTTTCCCCTTTAATAGTAATAACAACATCGTCTCGTTTGGTCGGTCAGATAAGCCATGATTAACAATTATATCATTATTTGAGGTCTGGTTAGTCCAATAATTTTTCGAGTCAACCTACAATTATGAAAAGAATTGAGCCCTTTTGTTTGTATATTGGGAAATTGTGTATTAGACGAGAAAATTTTAATATTTCCACTCAGAGAAACGAGAAAAATGTGGAATTACATATAATGTAGATATTCGTCACTCAGCAGAGAATCAACTGACCTGAAAAACAAATCGTTCGTTCATGCCATCAACAGATAGAAGACCTTTCATTCGATATATATCCTCGCTTCTTTCTATCAAAAGGGTACCTAGCCACATGTTTGCCTGAAGAAAACAAAAAATCAAAAGTTAAAAAAAAAAAAAAAAAAAAAAAAAAAAAAAACTCGAGAGTAAGAAGACTGTGCAACTAACTTTTTCAAGATCCAAAGTCCCGTCACAGACTATGTTGACTGAAGAAACACCAGGGTCATGAGTATGGTCATGGGTATGGTGATCGTGATTTTCTGCATCAGTGTCCAATAAAATAGTATTCTCTTATATTGGACTAGTAATTTTATGTGTGTGTGTGTGTGTATATATATATATATATATATATATATATATATATATATATATATATATATATATATATATATATATATATATATATAGACTATGTTAACGGTTAAGGATTAAAATAGAAGTTACCATGTTTATGGTCATCATGCTTGTGGTCATGATGGTGATGGTCATGCTCGGGATTATGACAATTATGGTCATGATCATGACTGTGACTGTCATGAACTTCCTCCGAGTGGTCAGCTTCGATAGCACTGTCAATTCTGCACATA